TGCTGCGCAATTTTAATTAAGAGGTCATTACAATTGCATTGTAATTTTTTATTAGATTATATAATTACAGTTTATTGTTTATTCTATTAGATTTCACAATTAAAATGCAATTATAATTCAAATGCATATGAGTAAATTGTATATGTAATTAAAAATTGTTACATTGTAATTACAAGATAATTGCATAATATTATTCCAATTACTATGTGTTTTCAATTGCATTCTGCAATTATATTTGCAATTAAGATCATGATTTTCCTGGGCTACGTAACTGCTTTTATCAGAAACAATTGCTATCCTAATTACATTATTATAATTACTTACTGGAGTTACAATAACAGTCTAATTGTAATTAAATTATATGATTGCAGTTGCATTGAATATGAAATTGGATTTCACAAATATAGAGTAATTGTAGTTTAAATGAAATTACGTAAATTGTAATTGTAATTAAAAAAACAACTACTTTTTAACTAAACTACTTAGTAATTGTATAATTTTATTACAATTGCATACTACACTTAGAATTACAATTATGATCATAATTTCACTATGTTAAGTAATTCTAATTATCAGAGACAATTACTTTCCTAATTACGTAGTTATAATTACCAACTGCAATCGCAGTTAAAATTACGTTGTAATTAGCTAATATTACCGTAGTTGTGATTAGATGCAATAAATTTTTAATTGTAATTAGATTATATAATTATAATGTTTGTGATTAAAATTGCATTGTAATTGTAAGAGTTAAGTTTTTTTTTTTTTGGTGTATTTAATTATGGCAAAGCACACGAGGGCTATCTGCCTAAGGGAAGGGATGCCTTTCGTGGAGGACTTTCTAAGGGAAACTGGCTCGTATACACGTTACACATGGGGAAAACCACGAAAACGCCCATGCAGCCAGCCCGTTCGCGGGATTCGAACCTCAGACCGAACTACCAGTGTTCAGCGACTTTACCGCTCGGCCGCTGGTGGGCCCCAATTGTAAGAGTTAAGAATTAAGAGTTAAGTGTTAAGAATTAAAATGCAATTACATACATTATTGTTGCATTAAAAAAAAAAAAAAAAAAAAAAAAAAAAAACAAAAAAAAAAAAAAAGTACTTACTTTCTAATTGTAATTGCGAAGCTAATTACAATTGCAATATAATGAAATCACATATTTCAAAATATTGTTGCAGTTTCTTGCAATTTTAATTTTAATTCCAATTACATTTTGCCAAACTGCATCTAAAATTTGGAGAATAATTAGGCTGGAAAATGAAAATTCTCTTTACATTAATAAACATTTAGTTTACTATAGCTGGTATAAGCACAGAACAGCTGGAAGTTTTGAACGAGGTATTTATTCGAACTGTTATTCAAACCTAACGATAAACCCATTTGCCCCTAGCGAATAGATAGTTTCCTCTCCTCAATTACCTCCCGCAGAGAAAAATTATCACCTGTCAGTTTACATTAAGAGCAGTGAGGGGAGGGCATTCTGAGACAGGCCGTATATATGCTGCTTTGCCGTTTCGTGCCAAAATTTAGGTTTACGTATATATGCTGCCTTGCCGCCATGAGGACCAAAATATTTAGACGCATATATGCTGCCTTGCCGCTATGAGAGCCATTATTTTCGAACGCATATATACGGCCTTGCCGCCTGGAGGGTTAATGTCTTTTTGAAAATTTATTGTCTTTATTTATTGGCTTCTCGTGAGTAAAAACCAAGCAGATGTCACTTCATACAAATACAAACTTAAATTAACACCTATAATTGACTAATAATGGATGATTCTGATTGTCACTTGCTTATTGTTCCATCAATAGACTGGTGACAGAAGTATGTTACAAATTAGTTTTGAACACTTGTCTCCCAGTTTAATTAGTTGCTCAATACTATGAATGTTTATATGGAAAACAGCATGGCTTATGCACTTTTTAAATTAAAATGTTTATTCACATAAATTTTTCCATTCCTTTTTATTGTGAAATAGCTATAACATTTTGTATATGTCTGGTATACAATAAATTACATTAACACGTTGACGGCGGCGGGGGAATTCATTGTTCTTTTCATGCGGCCTCGTTTTAATTAACAGTTTGTTTCGTGGGCCGGCGCAGCGGCAAGTTAAAAAATTAAAATTATTAATAATACAAAAATATAAAATTAAATATTATATTATAAAAATTATAATTTAAAATTATTAAATGAAATTATATATTATATTATAAAATAATACATTTTATAACACAATATAATAACTATTTTTTATACACAAGCGTATTTTAGTATTTTTTGATATACGAGCGTGACTCATCGGTGAGTCATGCCCGCCCGCGGAACAGTGTGTGTGTGTGTGAGTATGGCAAAGCCTCCAGGGCTATCTGCCTAAGGGGAGGGATACCTTCGTGGAGGACTTTCTAAGGGAAACTGGCTCGTATACACGTTACACATGGGGAAAACCACGAAAACGCCCATGCAGCCAGCTCGTTCGCGGGATTCGAACCTCGGACCGAACTACCAGTGTTCAGCGACTTTACCGCTCGGCCGCTGGTGGGCCCCCGCCCGCGGAACAATCAAACATGACCCACCGGTACGTCATGCGGCCCCACGGAACAGACAAGTATGACCCACCAGTGGGTCAGCCTACCCCCCGAAACAGACAAGTATAACCAACCGGTGTGTCAGGCCGCCCGCGTATTTTTACTTCCTCCCTAGGAAACGCAACCCGCAACTAAACTTGGCGATTTATCAGGTCTTGGCGAAATTGTGACACCAAGCGCATGCGCAAACGGAAATTACGCTGTCGGTTTGTTTCAAATTTGTGATGGCTGCGAGTATGTCAAACGAAGTGGAAAATGAATGTTATAAAATTTTATTTGATGGATATTCCTACGAAGTAGTGTCTTCGAAGTTCGGAGGAAAAGATAATTTCGACTTTGAAGCTGTTTCTCAAGTGCATTGGATTGTATCTTCCAAAACAAAACAATGCAAATCGGAAAGAGCAAAGTTTATTTTTAAGAAAGATTGCATGTGTCAACATGCAAGACTAAATAAGAAAAAGGCTAGTTTCAGAAATAAAGAATGTTTAGCTGCTTTGCATGTCAGAATTAAAATAATAATAGTGATAAGTAAACAAGATGTCGTGATGAGTATGTAAAAAATAATCTGTACACTTTGATTATGTTTTAATCATATTAATATTTATTGATCTATAATTAAGTTCATTACAACACTCTCACATAGCACATTGTTTATTCCAGACCAACATCAACTGCAAATTACTTCACTTCAGTTTGACCAGCAACTAGTGTGTTCCCACATATATGTAACATCTCCCCTCTTTTGGGAAACTCATAGGAATCAATGCATTACATAATTATCATATTTGGATGGTCGATATACATTACGACCACTTCTTGTTTTATATACTCAATCACGATTAATATTATTGCTATTATTTTGATGGTGAGGATCATTATGTATTTTTGGATGTTCACTACTTATATTTTCCTCATTCTCATTACATAGATCATAATAGTCTAATGTCACTAAATTATTGTTTTTAGTTTTTCTTAAATGGAATTTATTCTGTATAATTACTCTATTATCTTTTGTTCTAATCCAGTATGGTCTAGGAGCTGAATGCTTTTTAAAACTGTAGCAGGCTCCCATTTATTTTCCCATCTCAACATTACCTTTTCCTCAGGAGTAAATTCAGGTCTTTCTCTTGCATGCTTATCATAATAGATTTTAACCTGTTTCTGCTTACTCCTCACCTTTTCTTTATATTGATCTTTTACAGTTGGTTTCAATTCTGTTTGTGTGATTGGTAATCGTGTTCTTGAATTCCTACTTAATAGCATTTGACTTGGTAATAAATTTATACCTGAAATTGGAGTATTTCTATATTCCAGTAAAACCTCATTTAATTTCTCTAATCCCGCTTTTCTAAATAAACTCTTAGCTATACCTACCAACTTTTCTGCAAATCCATTAGATTTAGGATATCGAGGACTGCTAGTGATTTTTCAAATCCCCAATCCCCTGCGAAACTCTTCATTTTCCAACTATTAAATGGTACGTTATCACAAATTAAAGTTTTGGGTATTCCATGTGTTGCAAATATCGATTTCAATTTACTAGTAACTTCCACTGCTCTTTTTATTTATTAGAGGAATTATGCCTACCCATTTAGTTGAGTAACAGCCTGTTAGTAGATAACTTTTCCCCCCGCATACTCACAGATATCAGCACCAACCGTTTCATAAGGTAAACTGGGAATTTCATGAGAAACAAGAGGTTCTTTTACTATTTGAGACCTGAACCTATCCCAAATTAGACAATTAGAAATCATATTCTCAATGTCACTGTTGATTCCTGGCCAAAATGGTACTTGTCGAGCCCTAGCTTTCGATTTTTCAATCCCACAGTGAGCTTCATGCAATAATGTTAACATACACTTTCTTAATGCAACAGGTACTACAATTCGATTATTATAAAAAACTAAATCTTTTTCAACACTCAACTCATTTTTAAATTTAAAATAAGATCTTGCTTCTTTAGGAACTTTATCAACACTCAAAAGCCATCCATTTTGCCAATATTCTTTCACTAACATTAACCCTTCATCTTCTAATGTAGCTTTCTGAAACTCCCTTTTCTTACTCTCGGACATTTGCAGTTGTTTTGCTAGTGTATGAACAATCTCTGTCATATTCATGTTTTCATTTGTGTGTGTATCAAGAAAGGAACGTGACAGTAAATCTGCAATATACATATATTTCACAGGCAAATCTTTAAGTTTTAATTATATTTTAAGTGCTTAATTTTTATCCTCTGCAATCTATTTGACAACACTTAGCAATATTTTTGTTCATAATTGAAACTAATGGTTTATGATCAGTAAGCACTTCTACCTCTCTACCATAAATGTAATAGTGAAATTTATTAGCAGTAAATAAAATACAAAGAAATTCTTTCTCAATCTGAGCATAGTTTTTTTCTGCATTATTTAAACTCCGAGACGAAAAAGCAATTGGTTGAAAACCCATCTTTAGAACTATCTGCCTGTATAGTTATAGGTTTACTGCTATCAAATATTCCTAACACAGGTGCATTGGAAATTAATTTTTTTAATTCCCTGAACGCTTTAGAATGTAGCTGTAACCACTGCCATTCCACTTTGTTTTTCAAAAGTTCTCTTAATATGGCTGTTTTCTCTGAAAAATGTGGTACAAATTTCCTCAAATAATTACACATTCCCAAAACACGCTGTAATTCATGCTTATTCCGAGGTTCCTGTAACTCAGTAATGGCTTTAATTCGATCAGGATCAGGTCGCATGCCTGATGCATTAAATAAATGACCTAATTATTTAACCTCACTAACCCTATATTGAAGTTTTTGCTTGTTGAATTTAATATTGAGTTTTTTAGCTCTGCTGATGACCTCTAATGCATCATGAAAAAATATTGAGCAAATTCTAACTATTGGGGAAGGGATGCCTTTATGGAGGGATTTTTAAGAAACTGTCTCATATTCATGTTGTATGTAGGAAATACTATGATCTCAGCTTTTTCTTCTGTGTTTGAAAGGGAAAGAACTGATTAGAGTAATTTTTTTTTAGTATGGCAAAATATGTTACGAACCCGTGCGCACGCAACAATATCGTTTGTCACAGTGTTGAAATAACAAGATGATATTCCCGTATTTTAATAACTGATATTTACAGACCGAGCTTTTAATGAGATGACGGATTTTGAATCCCAAAAGGGACAATAAGTTAATTTAAAATTTAATCTTAGTTAATCTTGTATTAAATTTTATAGGAATTTTGTACGCATTTCGAGAGAATCTTAACCACGTATCTAGTCTTTTGATTAACTTTAATTAAATATCGTTAGGTAAAAAGTACTGAGAATTTTTTTAAAGAAAAATTCTTAAAAAACTGATAGACTTTAATTAAATTCTGATTAACTTTAATTAAATATAGTTAGATAAAAAGTATTGATAATTTTTTTAAAAGAAAAATTCCTAAAGAAGAATCTGCGTTATCAAAGACCTGAAGAAACATTCTCTAAAATTAGCGCTAATCTAATGCCGGACTTCGATTAAGTGCACAATTTGGCATGCGTCTTCGTGAAATATGAAATATTTAAAATTTATTATTTTAACTAAGATTATTGTGCATTATCGTAATCTTAATTAAAGTATTAAGTTGGAAAAATATCAAGCATAAGTTAGAATGCTTAGTTTTAATAGAACAGATAATATTAATAGTAATAACATAATCTTTAATATACGTTGAATTCTGAGCTAAAATATTTTGCATCAAAAAAATGTTTAAAAGCCTATGAGAAAAATTAATGTTAATGACTAAATAACGAGTATATTCATATATTGTCAACAATAATTAAAGTAGCATTCAGTATTTATCATATCATAAATATTTTAAATTGCTGAGTTTTCTTTCTGACTTAACGACTGACATTGTTTGCTTTAAATTAAGCTATTTATTATTGTTTCCCATAATTTTTTTTTTTTTTAACAATCTCGTGTTCTTCATAAATGTATATATTTTTTCGCTACATAATTGCAAATATACGACTAAATTATGCGTGATTTCTTAAAATTACACGCTTTTTTCACTCTCAGAGCGTGTTAATGGCAATTATTACTTTCACTTGTTTGATTTATAAGACAAGAAATATTACAGTTGATATTAAAAAATACTTATTTTAATGAGTAAATTCAAATGAGTATGAAGACATTTAACTTCAGTTTTTTTTTTCCAAGTTCTTCACTTCAGGCTCTACAGAATTTCTTCGCTTTAAATGCATTTTTATTTTTAAATGTTGTTTTCGTGTTCACATTTCTGGTTGCAAAGCATGAATAAACTAATAAAACAGATCATAAATAAAGAAAGAGGTCTGTACAAGAAAACTCGCCAAGTTCATTAAAATGTTAATGATTTAGTTTGCTATAACATAAACTTAATCCGTGCTATTTCTTTCAACTTGCTCCATTTAAAAGTAAATGAACAAATGATTTATAAATGTCATTTAGCAGAAAGAAATAATGTAAATGTGTTGAGTACTTATAAAACACTTTAAAAAATGATTTCGAGGTTCACAGTAGAAGGTTGAATTTTTCTTTTTGCAAAATTCAAGATTCTAGAATGATTTCTATTTTCTATTGTGTCCGAAATAGGGACAGGTTTCAAGGAAAGAATGTGATATTTCCTTAAAATTACATGTTTCTGAAAATCATAAATTGCAGCGAAATATCAATGTATCGAAAAGGATAGCAATTGAATCTTGCTAAAAAGAAGGGTAACTGCATCTTCAGTGTAGTTAGTTGCACAGAGTGAGAAGTAATGTTAAGAAATTCGGGTATAAAAAGTTCATTTTCATGAATTAGTAAGCATTTCTCAATCCTAATTTTGTATGCACTTTCGCTTTCAAAGAAAAATAAATTTAAAAACAAAAAATAAAAATAAGCTTATTTCTTCTCAAATTAACGTAGGTAATGGGATATGTCATTCGCCGTGTTCTCGGATCTGTCTATTTATATTCTGAACTCCCTCCCTATTCAAAGAAGAAAACTGCAGGGAGATAATTTTAAATTCTGTGCCGAAATTTCTGAAACATTCAGTCGGCCATCCGCCATTTAGGAAGACCTAGATCTAATGGAGATGAACAAATTTTTTGTGCAAAAAAGAGAAGAAAAGGAAATTTGTTTGTTCGTTTAGAAAATAGAGGATGCTATTGGCCAACATTAGTGTCGAATCGAGGACGTTTCGAATTCTGTGCACTCAAAAATATTCAATCAAAACCACATTCAAAATGCTCAACTTGTAATATTTTTGTAAGTAATGAAAAAAAAAAAAAAAAAAAAAAAAAATTTTTTTTTATGATTATCATTAAATGTACTACCTTTATTATGTATAAAATAAAACTATGTCAATTTGATAATTTCTTTGTTTTCTTATGAGTGTTTTTTTGGTTATTTAGCATTTTTAAGAGGTTAAATTTCATTAGAAATATCATCCGTAATTTTTTTCGGTAGGGTACGAACTGCGCCAAATTTGATCGAAAATCCCCGTCCCCCTCTTTTTTAATCCACGAACTGCGCGACGTTTCCTGTCCCCCATTTCTTTCCATCCAAGAGATTGGGTGCTCCAGAATGGGTCGTTTCGCCAAGGGTTAATCGTCGCCATTAATGGGACATTCTATTGAGACTGCAAGCGCGTTTCTTTAAAGTCAATAAAACAAATTTTGCATGTTTAAAAAATATTTTAAAAGTTGGCTTTTGCACTCTTTTTTATGATGCCTAAGGAATGATGAGCCAGATCTTTTTTTTCTCTGTAAGAATTAAAAACTTTCCAAATTGTAGATTTTAGTCGCTGATATATATATATATTAGTTTTGAATAGTAAAATTGATAGATTAATGACATACACAAAACTGATACATAATCAACGTATCAAATATCGGATTTGTAGCTCAACTTAAATAAGTTTCTTGTCTAGATAAATATTAATAAATCTTCTTAGATAGCAGAATGGTTTTAACTTTCAAATTTACCATTTTAGGTAAACAGTTCTAATTTAATTACAAAAATTATCTTTATTAATTCTAAAAATTGGACTTCTTAAGTCGTTCTAAATTCACACTAATATTATTGCAATATATTCCCGTATTAAGCTTTTCATTTTAAATCATTGAAGTTATTTTAAGGTTATTTAACTTTGTTACAAATTCCATATTTTAATACTAGAAACGAACTTTATTATATTTAATACTAGAAACGAACTTTTAACAAATTCCATATTCTAATACTAGAAAATATTTATTCTGTTTTCCACCTGATGTACTTTGGCATAGATTTAATTTCTAATACACATTTAATTAATAAATTGATAATTATGAGCGTCATCAAAATTTTTATAATTAACAAAACAAAACAAAACAAAAAAAAAAAAAAAAAAAAAAAAAAAAAAAAAAAAAAAAATCAAACTCCCTTATTCATATCCTGGGATTTTCAGTCTCCTTTTTAAATCCATTTTTTCACATACTGTTGCACTCTACTCAAGTTTCATGTATGTAAAATTTATAATTTGTATTGTATTATGCCAATTTATATTTAAATGATAATTTTTTACAAATTCTTGCATCACAACTTTATTTAACAGAAGATGTTTCTAACACCTTGACAAAGCTTAATCTTCAGCATGTAGCTTATTTTCTAACCTAGTTTCAACCTGAATTATTTGTAAAATTAATTACTTGAAATTATTTGTTAACAAAGATTGTCGCTAAATCACTCTAATAATATTTCTAACTGTTATAATTTATAATGCAGCGAGTTCATGTGATTTATAATATAATGTATTTATAATTTTTTCAGCAATATTGAAATTAATAGTACATACTGATAATGTTATACATTCAGATTACAATGATTTAGATTGCAATTGACTTCTTCACTTATGCTTTTATACTACATTCCTAAAATTTCATAATGGCATACAGGTAAGTTTAACTCATTTATTAAACATGTAAATCTCTAATTCAGCCCACGTTTATTCTTACGTGTGCTGTATCTTCTATTTTCTTTAATATATTTATTGTTCAGTCTAATTTCAAAAGGTCTTATGATCAAGCGGAAAAGTCACTAAACATTGGTAGTTCGACCCGAGTTTCTAGTCCCAGTGATCCTCCAGCTCTTTCTTTTTTTTTTTGTACTTATTTACTGTGTAAAAATGTATAGTAAAATTTTCAGTTCATGAAGTAAAAATACTTTTAAAATTTATTCTTTAAAAATATTGCAAAATTTTTCACCTTAGCGTGTCTTTTTACAAATCCCTCTGGTAAGAAAAAATAAGGAAAGAAATTAACTTGGTTTCGGTGATTGATACCTCAGTGCAAATTATGTGTAACTTTTTCCAAAAAGCATAGAGTTTATATGGATATCAATAAATTATGGATTATTTCTCATCTAATTTTCTTAACATTTTTATTCCAGAATTTTCCTTTCACACTGTAGTGTTTAACTTTATGCGGTTTCTATAATAATTTACATTTGTTTATAATTTCACGCGAATGAAAGTGATTATTTAATTGTATAAGCTTTGCTGAAAGATAAAAACGAGAAAACAAAATTCTATCACTTGCGGTCAAGAGAATGTTTTTGATGTAATAATTATTATATATTTCTTTTGATAGTTTTTATTTAATTTCTTTCATTTATGCATTACTACATAGTTCTTTTAAAAAAATATTTTTCTGTGCCGCTATGTCCGTATTTCAGTTTCAAGGTGCTCCGTGTAGGGTATATAATGC